TGATACAGAATTTTAAAAAACGTATACAAAACTTATTTATAATAATGAAAAAACGTATGCAAATTTTTTATAGGGCATACTACTTACATTTCTATGAATACACAAAAAACAGTACTCAATATTTTGTCAGACCGATGGATCAATCCAAAAGGAAACTATTCTGGAAGTTGATTCGTGAAGGTTATAAATATGCTGATAGACTTTTGGATTATTTAGAAGATATTGAGACTATGTATGTTGGCGAATTCGAATTGGACCCTTTAGTAGACTTCTACTATCCAGCTTTAATTCTACCTCTATCTATTTTAGCGAGTAGAACGGATATTCATAAAAACTTTCTATTAGTGTAGAATCTGCTGTTGTAGGAGGAATGAGTTTATTTACCCTGAAAAAAAACAAATGATCCTCATTTAGAATCTAATCCGGATGAATTATTCCAGTGATAACTTGTTCACACTAATAGGATTAACTTAGAAGCAAGAAGAGATAAAAACTTGGAGGAATGACACGCTCATGAAATTCTTCCATCACCCAGATTTAGCCCCTTCAAAGCACAAATCAGGTGCTTTATACAATGCATTCATCAAGACGAATGTTTTAGGCCAGGACATATACTAGCTCTAGCATGAATATTTTATTGAAATGTTATTAGATATAGATGAATTTGTTTATAGCCTTGGAATGGCGGTTCCATGACTATATTTTTTTTCGCTTATCATATATACCTGCAAAATTCAATTTTTTGTTTATTATTACATGCAAAAAATAAATACAAATATTCAGAACGTAGCCCACGATACATATTATTTTTCTATGCTAAGCCCTATCTGTTCCTAAATTCTAATTCGATTTTCCTGCGATGTTGCTCAATGACTTTACCCTTTTTACACCACTTTGTGAAGCTTTCATCGGCTTCTGTGCCTCCTTCAATGACTATACAATATGCCCGAAGACCTTTTCTACTTTAGCTTACATTACTCCACAACTATGCGATCGTATCTTGTATACATGCTCCACTTTGCTTCGCAGAATGTAAACACTATTTGCTTTCATATCCTGTGTATATGCTCCGCTTTGCTTCGCAGAGTATAAACACTATTTGCTTTCATATCCTGTATATATGCTCCGCTTCGCTTCGCAGAGTGTAAACACTATTTGCTTTCATATCTTGTGTACATGCTACGCTTCTCTCATCTTTGTACACAACGGTCACTGGTTCTGATAGCTTAAACAATGGTTTCTCTCATTATCTAGCGAACACTCCATAAAATACCATTCAGATGCATCGGTAACAATCCCAAATACTCTATCTACATCCTGTCTGTTATCGATTTCATCTGCCTTGCATTTACGTGACAAGTTGACTCCATCTGCACAGACATCTGGGCAAATCCCTTCATAAAATCTTCCTTCTTAACTTCGATTACACCAAGGATTCTACCAGTCGAACGACACTCTACTGCATAATCAAGGTTCTCTTGTCTATTTCGACTTTCGATAAGTTTTTCCGGTATGAGCTTAAAATTATCTTTGTAAAACGAGACCTCAGAAACTAAATAGCAGTAAGAATAAATTGTCTTTGTTGCCTCATATGCCTTGTCAAGAGGAGTAATATCTTGGCAAAGTTTTAATTCAGCTATTAGATGCTTAATCACGGTTTCAGACTTTTCGCTACTTAGGTTAGCAGAACCACAATGAAAAATGGGATATACATCGATATTAGGATTCAGGTCATCGCTAAGCTCATAGAGCTCACACACTTTAGGAAAGGTCTAGAAGTTGAATGGTTTCAAGGGAGTCTCTATGAACACGGTATTGATATATTGTGGTTGTAGTAGTTTTTTCAAAAATAAAAAACTAAGTTGATGTATTATAAAAGTTATGTGTATAGGTGTAAAACTGTGGAATATTTGATGATATTATGTTGATTAGTTTATTGTAGTAATGTAAAAATAAATTACAAGATTCAGTAATACATAAATTTGTTTTACAAAACGAAATGGCGTTTCTATACTTCTATACTAATGCTTACAAGTGTTCCGTTCATCTAAATACTAACATAACACCCTAATATTAACTTTCGTTTCTCGATAATCTGAATAGAATAAAGTAAAAATCGTTAATATATAAGACAAGCGATGAAAGAAGTACTAGAAATAAAATAGAATCATAACCTTATTAAAGATCTCGTTGAGAATTTATGTTGTTAACACTTCCGTGATGTTAATAAAGTCTTCAGAAAACTATACGAAAAAATGGAAATCGTTTTCTTGTGAAATGCTTCAGAAAAAAAATATACTTCATTCAGGCTTGAATTACGTATTGTCTCGTCTAGATTCTTCACCAACGCTCCTTTTAAACTGCGATACTTTAAACAAGTTCAGGCTTGGAGAAAATAATATAATGGCTTGGTGGTCGAAATAAGGAAAAAAAAAAATAGAATTTCTGCGCTTCATTTTTTGTTGCCATAGCATAGTTCTTTGTGATGCTCCTCATCCTCGTTTGTAAATATTCTTATACTTTTTTCAGTAAGCATATTCCATTCATAAAAGTAGTAATTATTTGAAAATAGATAAAATTTATCGTACTTTGATATACTAATTAGTTCAAAATCATCAGGTATCTTATAAATTCCTTTACACACAAACAAATATGGAACCAGATTAGGGTATCTAGAAATATGTGGTGGTAAATCTCAAAATATGTATGTGCTAATAAATAAAATATGCGATAATATGTATTCATAATTCTGGTAAAAATTATGTTAAATTTTTAAATTTTA